ATATACATTTATATATTTAATTTAGACAAAATCATTTATATATTTAATTTAGACAAAATCCATTCCTATAGTTATACACGTGTATAAATCGATATATACATTTTATATTTAATTTAGACAAAATCCATAAGCATTCCTATAGTTATACACGTGTATAAATCGATATATACATTTATATATTTAATTTAGACAAAATCCACAAACATTCCTATAGTTATACACGTGTATAAATCGATATATACATTTATATATTTAATTTAGACAAAATCCACAAACATTTCTATAGTTATACACGTGTATAAATCGATATATACATTTATATATTGATTTTACACAAAATCCACAAACAATGCGAAACAGCGCTAAACGAGGCTGTGTTTTTATGAAAATATTGGATTTAGGGATGGCTAGAGAGTTGATTAGGTGTTAAATTTAACTAGTGGTGTATGGCATCGTGCCTTAGGGCAAATTGCTGGAACTTTCCGTACCAAAAGTTTTAAAAAAAGATTCAATTTTATTCTAAAACTCCATTTTTGAGATTTTTGTGAAAAAATTGACCTTTTTGAAAAATTTTATTTGAAATATTATGGAAATTTTGTACTTTTTTTTAAAGCGATACATTAGCTGCGTCGAAACTAAATATCGAAACATTGGTACGGAACCCATGGCAATGTAAACAAAATTTGTTATTATTATTAAAATATTTATAAAATATGTGATAATTTGATGTGCATATGTCCAATGATCATTTTTGTCTGTCAAATGACATTTTTTTTTCAATTTTTTCATTAAATCTCCGAAAACGCTAGATCTGCCTTACCATAAATTTCATCAGGTCTTCATTTCATCAATACGAATACAATGTTTTTTAAATAATACAAATCGGACGCTCCGTTCTCTCAAAAAATCAATTATTCTTTTGCTCCGTATCTCCGTAACAGCTTGACCTGTCTTTGTCAAAAACTAATCAGCACTTCTCCCTATCAATAGAGATCGAATGTCTTTTGAATTATTCTAATCTGTTGACTCATGTTCCTGAAATCGTCGACGAAAATTTGGAAAGAGCGCTAAACTGATACAGCGTTAAGCGGGATATCACTATACTCATCTTTCTTTGTAGTCAGCGTTAAGCGGGGTATCATTGTGCTCATGTTGAAAAATGGACACAGCACACTTAGGTTGAGATAAAAGGGCGCTAAACAAAATAACGTTGAGGGGGATATTGTTTACTCTTCGTAGTTGAAAAATGAACACAAAAGAAGCGCTAAACGAAACAGCTCTAAGCGGGGTATTACTGTACCTATTTTTCTGCACAGCAAGTCTGGGTTGAAAAAAAGAACGCTAAACAAAACAGCGTTAAGCGGGGTATTATTTAGTGTCGTGGTTGAAAAATGAACACAGAAAAGAGCGCTGAACGAATCAACGTGGAGGGGAGTATTATTTTCTCTTCGTAGTTGAAAAATGAACCCAGAAAAGAACGCTAAACTAAACAGCGTAAAGCGGGGTATTGCTGTACTCATTTTTTTCTTCGTGGTTAAAAATGGTTAAAATAAAAAAGCGCTAAACGCAACAGCGTTAATCGGGGCATTGCTGTACTCATTTTTCTTTCTTTGTGGTTAAAAATGATTGAAATAAAAGAGCGCTAAACGAAACAGCGTTAAGCGGGGTATAACTGTACTCATCTTTCATTATAGTTAAAAAACGATAGAGCAAACCTGAGTTATAGTAGAAAAGCTCTAAACAAAACAGCGTTGAGCGGGGTATTATTTTTAGCTGTATATACAACCGGAATGTACAATTTTTTATTCTTTTTTTTCTCAGCGCGTTAGTGAGATGATTGAGGGATGTCTTATCCGTTGGTAATTTACTCTCCATAGTTGAAAAATGAACACAGGAAAGAGCGCTAAACGAAACATCGTTAAGCGGGGTTTACTTATATTTATTCTTTTCGTAGTTGAAAAATGGACACAGCAAATCTGGGTTCAAATAAAAGAGCGCTAAGCCGAAACAGCGTTAAGCGGGGTATTATAGTGTTAAGCGGGGTATTATAGCGTTAAGCGAGGTATTACTGTTCTCATCTTTCTTTCTTCGTAGTTAAAAAATGGACACAGCAGCACCTCGCCCCTCCTTGGAAACGGAAAGTATTGTGGAAACATCCCTGTTACCGAACCACTTGTGACCACCGGGAACAATTTATATATCAAATTCTACAGCATCGACACCTCCAAGGTAAGTTAAGACGCGCGAATAATTTTATACACCCAATCATTGTCTATATTTATTTCCCAGCAAGCGTTGAGAATCAGATACAAAGAAGTCAACAACCTCTGTGGCGACAGGGTAACTCTAACCAACAGCAAAAACATGCAGGAGATCAGTTCGCCGAACTATCCCAACATTCCTCCTCCTCACAGCGAGTGCGAGTGGGTGATCATGGCACCGAATGGCGAAATCATCAAGGCAGAATTTAAGGATAGATTTGATATCACGATGAGCACTTTGTAAGTAACCATTGGATTCTCCCAGTACCAATTGACCGGTATTTATTTCTATTGTTTCTATTCAGTTGTGATTCGGCCTTCGTCGAGATACGAGATGGAGCCACTGAAAATTCTGCACTGCTAGGAAGTTGGTGCGGAAGCAATAAACCAGGAACAATAAGAAGTTCCGGGAATATGATGTACGTCAAATTTTTCACTAAAGTGGATGATCCTAAGAACGGGTTCAAACTTGCATTGAGTTTAGGTAAGTTGTGTAAAAAAGTAGACAATTCTGTCTCATAAAATAGCGTTGTCATGGCAACGCTATCTTATGCTTGCTGCGAAAATGTCTATCTATTTGCCGTGCGATCAGGCGTATTTTACATATAAACAAGCAAGAAAGAATGTTATGATAACAGAATTCTAGATGCAGTTATCATAACATTCTTCCTTGCTGTGTTTTTTATGTAAAATACGCCTGATCGCTCAGGAAACTAATGGTGTATGGCATCGTGCCTTAAGGCAAACTGCTGGAACTTTCCGTACCGTAATGAAATATTCGAGAAATTTTAAACGTGGTATTACAAATGCTGTAACTTTCATTATTTTTGCTATCTTATTATATCTGAGCAAATCAAATATAAATTATAAATCAATTTATCTCCAGAGAACATTAACAATCGTCATTCAATTTCAAATTCAATTTAAAAAAAATAGTTGCCTAATTTACTCAAAATTGAAAAAGTGCTCCCGTATAGTCACAGTCTAAACGCATTTCCAAATAATTCTGTGCGGTATTTTCACTTATTCTGTGCTTAGCTTGGCGGCATTTTCACATTTTTCAATAGTTTTCACAACATTGGAAAAGTGCTTAAGTACGTATACAGTCTAAACGCACTTGCGAAAACATTTTTACCAGAGTGGCGCTTAGACTGTGCTTAGTCTGGGTAATTTTTTGAATTTTTGTATTTAGTATTTTTCATTATCAACTATATTTTACCAGACATGAAAATGAAAAGGACTCTACTGACAAGGAAACTATATTTTGCATTATATGAACTGACGAGCAAACTGAAATACTCGTCTGCTCGTCAGTAGAGTCCCTTTTTTATTTTAGCTTTTGCTCGTCAGTAGAGTCCCTTTTTTAATTCTAGATTAGTTTGCTCGTCAGTAGAGTCCCTTTTTATTTCTTTCTAGATTAGTTTGCTCGTCAGTAGAGTCCCTTTTTTAATTCTAGACTAATTTGCTCATCAGTAGAGTCTTTTTTTAAATTCTAGACTAGTTTGCTCGTCAGTAGAGTCCCTTTTTAATTCTAGACTAGTTTGCTCGTCAGTAGAGTCCTTTTTTTAATTCTAGATTAGTTTGCTCGTCAGTAGAGTCCCTTTTTTATTCTAGACTATTTTGCTCGTCAGTAGAGTCCTTTTTAATTCTAGATTAGTTTGCTCGTCAGTAGAATTCTTTTTTTAATTCTAGACTAATTTGTTCGTCAGTAGAGTCCCTTTTTTAATTCTAGACTAATTTGCTCGTCAGTAGAGTCCTTTTTTTAATACTAAAAATGCGGACATACAAAATACACACACACATACACCGCACACATCTATTTAGTTTCTGAGGTATGCCCCTTAAAAATGTTCAGAAACCTTCAAAACGTCGAGAAATGCAAAAATTTTCATTTTTGATTTTCGGTCCATTACTATAACTATCCTACGGAAGTTAATAAATAGACAATTTCACAGTTTCACTAACAAGAAACAAGCATATATAGCGTTGCCTAGCTCACGATACCATACACTTATTTATTTATTTATTTTATTTATTCATAAGCAAGCCGTAATCAATAATAATAGATATTATTTTAGGCTCTTGTTAAGCTTATTTATAATTAATATTAAGGGGATAGTAATTTTATAATAATCATAGTAGCTGCACGAATTTCGCTTCTGAAAAAAAAGAGCTGGAAAAAAAAACATTCGAACATTAAATACAATGTTCATCATATTAAGTTTATTTGACCACGATTCAAGCTCAAAATTCTTGCACGAGTTTGAAAGTTATACTCATTTAAAACCGTAAAAAAAAAAATTAATAAAATAGCATAGAAAAAATGAAAAAAATATGGTTGTACAGGCGATCCAATGGTCAGACTACATAGATACAGGATAAGGATCATGCAAGAAAATAGTTATTGAAAATAAATCACTGCAAGTATTGTTTTTTTTTTCAGATACCTGTGGCGGTTCATACAGAGGCAGCGAAGGCAAAATATCATCACCCAATTATCCAGTTCCAGGGGCTTACCCACCTAATTCTGATTGCAGTTATGAGATAATAGGACCTGAAGGACATTATTTGACGATGAAGTTCACGGATTTGAATTTGCCTACTGGAAGGAATTGCACTAATGTCGATCATGTAATTATATCGGAGATTGTTGGAAATGATTTTAATCGAACAGGTCAGAGGAGAGAAGATATATGTAATAATATAAACATATGTAATACCACTAGTGCAATTAAAAATTTTATTTTTTTAGCATATTATCTTGGAACTTACTGTGGTACCAACAATTCCATGGAAATCTCTGCTTCGAGTAATAGAGTTCATGTGCGTTTTGTTACTAAAGAAAGGCAGAATATGTACAAAGGGTTTCAGTTGTACTACAATTCCAGCACAAGTGGTAAAATT